AACACTGTTGGCTCGAGTCACATATTCTCCCTATGAGCAGGCACTGTACCCTTGTATAAAATGCCAGTAGCAGAGACATTCGTGGTTCCCTGGAGAAGGGGAAAAGGACAACATCTACTGAGCAAATTGAGAGCATGGGGGAGGGGAGAGGGAGTTAGGAGAAAGAGAAGAGAGAAGAGGAGGGGAGAGGAGGACAGGAGAGAGCAGGAGGATCAAGTCAGGGGATGAATAGAGGAGAGCAAGAAAGAGATACCATAATAGAGGGAGCCATTGTAGTTTTAAAGAGAAATCTGGCACTAGGGAAATGTCCAGAGATCTACAAGGTTGACTCCAACTAATAATCTAAGCAATAGTCAAGAGGCTACCTTAAATGCCCTCCTCCGATAATGAGGTTGATAACTACCTTATATACCATCCTAGAGCCTTCATTCAGTAGCTGATGGAAGCAGAAGCAGACACCCACAGCTAAACACTGAGGTGAACTTTGGAATCCAGTTGCAGAGATGGAGGAGTGATGAGCAAAAGGATCAAGACCAGGCTGGAGAAACCCACAGATACAGATGACCTGAACAAGGAGAAGCTCATGGATGCCAGACTGAGAGCTGGGGAACCAGCATAGGACTGTTCCAGACCCCCTGGCAATAATGTCAGTTTGTAGGTCTGGTTAACCTATGGGGCCTCTGGTAGTGCCATCACAGCCCACCCTCTTTTCTGCTTCCATCCTTGATCAGAGGCACCCTCTGTTTACTCCCCTCCAGTAAATCTCTTGTGTGAGGCCTGTTGCATGGTGTGACTTTTTGGTGTCCCCTGGCTCCAATACGCCAAGGTATCATTCCTTCTGCTTTGAAACTCTAACAACAATATGTCTCTGTATGTATATTTCTTTGTGCCTTTTCTTTCTTTTGTTTTTTGCCTATTTATATATTAAAGGGAGAGATAAAAGAGAAAGCAGTTATGATATTTGTGTAGGGAGGTTGGGGAGAATCTGGAAGGAAATGGGAGACAGAAACCTTAATTAAAATATAATGAATGATTTTCTTCAGTTAAATAAAGTGAAGAATATTTTAACCACAACAATATGTGTTTCATGCATTCTCAGAAATAATAAAGTATTTTCCCTGTGAGTCAACTCCTCCTTCCTGTGGCTCTAATTCCTACTAGGTATGGAGTACAAGGAGAATAATCAGAATTTCTCCATCCTGTTTTCTGCACACTAGTCCAGACCTTGCTGGGGCCCATTGGGTTTGGGTATAGACTGCAGGTGTCTGGGGAGCACTGTGTGCTCACTGCACACAGGTAGACAGCTGAGTCACTGGGCTGGGAGTCTCTGATGTGCAGGGAAACATGCAGGCTGGCTTTATTGAGATTAATGGTGAATCTGCCTTCTTTCTTTTCACCATTGGAGAAGATAGACATGAGCAACTCAGGACTTTTCCCAGGATACTGTCTGTACCACCAGAAGTAATCATAATTAGGATCACTGGAAGTACAGTTGAGAGAGGCCAGAGCTTCCTCTGTGACACTGAGGATTTCTGGGTTCTGCTGCACCTTCTGCTGGCTGCTCACCCCTGTGCGGAAAGACAAAGGTCACACAAACAGGACTGAATGCATATGGATGCTATCACCCCAGAATGGCTTCCCCATGGGCCTCCCAGCTGCTTTTGTTTCAGCATGAGAACATTAGTATTTCTAACCACACTCCTAATATATGTGTGCACAACACCTTTGCATGTTATAATTATATATTTCCATAAAAATGGACAAACTCACCCCTCAGTTGAAGCAACAGTGCTACTATAAAAACACTTAAGTGATGCATTACTGTTTTCTCTGAAGAGTCACACTTCAACCATAACAAAAGGACCAGCATTAGGGAGTTCAAATTCTTCTCCTGTAAGATGCATAAAAAAGAAAAACCCCAAACTGTTCATCCAATCAGAAAAAAGGTCCTAGTTTCCACTGCCACATCAAAAGCCCTCCTCCTCCCTCTCACCACCCCACAACACACATAGACACAAAGGACCATGGGAAAGATTGCATCTGGGTATCTGAGAATATACTGCCATCCTGTGGATACATCTTAATGTCAAAGAAATATTTTAAGCCCAGACTCTTCTAATACAAACTATTAAAACAAGGAGTAGTTTAGTCAGATGAGAAGATTAAGACATTTGCTTAAGTTTATGTGTAAGTGTACTTACATATACATTTTTCACCAAATCACAACTTATTTTCAGCAAATCAAGTTATTTCACTAGTCACTTTCTGTAATATTTCTGAACAATCTCTCATAATCAAATAATAGTTTACGTTCATTGTCTCTTCTCTGTGTCAGCGCATACAACCCTGTATTGTTTCTTCATAATCAATATTAAATTTTCTATAATTAAAAAGATTTTTTAAATAAAACAGCTTTAAATGTGTCTTAACATACATGGCTCCAGCTCACAGCCTAGCTAAATTTTATTTATGTATCTGTCTATTTATGCATTCATTTATTTTTATATGTTATGTGTGTGTGTTTGTGTGTGATGCTGTGTGTGAACACATCAGTGTGGGTGTGTGTACATGTGTGTACATGTCAGAGATCAACATCAGGTGTTGTCTTTGATTATTATTCAAACTGACCAAACAATTAGAAAAAACTGTTCTAGATGTCATTGCTATATCACCAAGCCCTTCTCTTCTTCCCTGACTACCCTCTCTCATACAGAGACACAAGCAAATACATGAGAAATTGCCTCTGGGTCTCTTTAAACCTAGAGCTCATCGTCACAGGCTGCCTTGTCAATGAACTCCATGGACTGGACTGGCATTGTCCTCACCAGTGCTAGGGCTACATATGTGGGTGCGGAACTGGATAGTACATGTGTTCTGGGTATCTGGACACAGTTCTTCATGCTGGTGAGACGGGCATTTCACTCATTGAGCCACCTATTCAGCCTCTATTTATTTTTGTTAGTAGTGTTCATTATACAAAATGTTGTGATTATTGTAATAAATTAATACACTTGTGTAAGATATGCCATTCATATTCACTTCTCATTTCACTCTTTTGTACTCACTGGTGGACAGATGAGCTAATACTGTAATTTGGTTAACTTGAACAGTACCAAAACAGCATGATATGTGCATATTTTTATTGTGAGTTTGATTCCTTCAGACACACAGCTAGGAGCACTAAAGCTGGAAAATGTCAAATTTGCATTTTTAGGGGATTTTTACAAGGAAACATTACACTAAATTCCATAATGGTTTCACTAATTTATATTCTGATCAGTTACATATAATGTCATGTCTCATGTCCACAACATCATTGCCTTTTGTTTTCTTGATGATAGCCTTGGGGGAATGGGGACTAAGATGGATCCTCAGAATAGATTTTATTTGGTCAGCTGTTTCTTCAGCAATGTGATACTAGAAGTGCTTGGAATTCTCCACACACCATTATAAAACATCCTTAGCAAGGAAGCTGGTGATCATCTAGAGAATACTATGCTCCATCCATGAGACAGACAGAGAATAGAACATCCTAGAAAGACAGAAGTTAGAGCTGTGGAGAAAGGAAAGTATAAGCTTTATCCACTGAAATGGGAGGGTACTCAAGGCTAATAAGCTAATTGGGCTTTGGCTAGGGAGTTTTATTGTGCTTGTATGTCTTCTTCATTACACTATTAGTTCTGTTCAGGTACCCCACCCATGTTTTCCCACCAGTTCAACTCAAGTTGTCTTCTGGGAACAAGAAGTTGCCATCTCAAGGAGTTTTCTTTTGCTTTCCCCTCTGCCTATACTCCTCTCTTTCTCAGCCACACTCCTCAGAGATCAACAGCAACTGTTGTCAATGATGGGGCCATGGTTGCTCTAGCTACTTAATTAGTAGATGAGCTGGAGCTTAGGAGGCATCATCATGGGATGTGTTCCTGGGGTTTGTTCAGGATACTATGGCCCCATATCTTGAAGAGGATCCCATATTCTTTCATTGCATCTACTCAGAGCTCAGTTTGTACCTTTCTGCCTCAATTGTTGTCTCCAAGATCATGACTAAAGATTGACACAATTAGACCTTTTCTCTAGAAAATTCATATCCCCACATGTCTAGAATGTTAAGAGAAACTCAGCCTCTGAGAAAGCCTCTCCACAGATGTCCCACAGAAAAACAGGACTTGTACATCTTGAAGAAAGCTTTTATGAGGACTTGACCAGTTCACAATGTCCTGAGCCAAGGACAGTCCAAACCAATGTGGGATATCTATAAATATTTGAGGTAGAATGCATCAGGTGACAGATTTAGCAATACAAGTTGGATACCTTTTAGTCTCAGGAGAAAGGTAATTTTAGCCACAACGTCTGGACTTGATAGCTTTGGTAACTATCATGGATAGAATGGTTAGAACTACAATGTAAGTAAGATACCCTCCTCTTAATGATTCTAGAGAGGAAAAGAGAGAAGAAATTTAAAAGCTGTTTGATTTTTTTAGTTAAAATAATGGTGACCCTGCTCATATATAAATTTTAGACATAGATGAAAGGAGTACCAGCCTACACTGCACACTGCCAGAGAAGCTAGGAAACCAGGAGGATGCTGAGAGACAGACATACAAAATCCTCTGGAGAAGGGGAAAGGGAAAAGATCTCCTGAGCTAATTGGAAGCATGGGTAGAAAGGAGAGGCAGTTAGAAGAAATAGAAGGGGAGAAGAGGAAGGGAGAGAAGGACAGGAGAGAGCAGGAAGATCGAGTCAGGGGAAGAATAGAGGAGGGCAAGAAAGGAGATACCATAATAGAGGCAGCCATTATAGGTTTAAAGAGAAATATGGCACTAGGGAATGGTCCCAACTATTAATCTAAACAATAGTCTAGAGATTACCTTGAATGCCCCTCTCTGATAATGAGACTGATGACTACCTTATATGCCATCATAGAGCCTTCATCCAGTAGCTTATAGAAGCAGAAGCAGACACCCACAGCAAAACACTAAGCTGAACACTGTAATCCAGTTGCAGAGAGGGAGGAGTGATGAGCAAAGGCATCAAGACCAGGCTGGAGAAACCCACAGAAACAGATGACCTGAACAAGTGGGAGCTCATGGACCCCAGACTGATAGCTGGGAAACAGCATAGGACTGTTCCAGACCCCCTGAACCTGAATGTCAGTTTGGAGGTCTGGTTAATCTTTGGGGCCTCTGGTAGTGGATCACTTTTTATCCCTAATACACAAATGGATTTTGTGAGCCCACTCCACACAGAGGGATACTCTCTCAGCCTATACACATAGGGGAGGCTCTAGGTCCTGCTCCAAATGATATGACAGATTTTGAAGATCCCCCATGGAAGCCCTCACACTCCCAGGGGAGCAGAAAGAGGATAAGGATAAGGAGTCGATGGGGTCAGGGGAGGAAGGGATGGAGAGGGAACTGAGATTGACATGTAAAAGAAGCTTGTTTCTAATTTAAATAAAATGGAAGAAATAATAATAATAATAATAATGATAATAATAATAATAATAGTGAGCCTGTCTTTCTTGTTTTCAGGTAGGCACTGCAGTGGTGAATTGAGCCAAAGTCAAAAAGTTCTGCATCTTGGCAGCATTTTCACACTGAGAAGAAAAGCATTAATGAGAAATAGTTGCCTGTGTAACATCTCATGTGGATTCAAGTCTAATGCCTATGCAATGTCATCCATTAGATTACTAAAGGAAACACAACAGTCACTTTATTAATGGGTTATACATTCCTGTGGGGATTTTAAGGTCATTCAGGTGCCAAAATCAGTCACTTTTTCTAAACTGTCAAAATCAGTTGAGGATCTGTTACTTGGGGATCACTTGGGCTTGAGAAATGACTCTGGCTCCTCTAGCTTTCCTTTAATCAGTTTCTCTATATATGTGAGGATAAGTCTAGGGCCTTGCTTGACCTTGGCTTTGCTTTTAAACATGGGGAATTTACCCTTTGTGTTGACCTTTCCCTTGGTAGACTGGACACTGGATAGAAATAACTGTGTGGAGTTTCCAGGGCCTCCTGAACAAGTAGCCACAGAACAGTTCAGGTTAGTTTAGTTTTAAGTTTAATATATATATATTTATTTTGGTCCCCTGAAACTGAAGTTCTAGACAGTTGTCACACACTGTGTGGATGCTGAAATTTGATTCCAGGTCTTTTTGCAAACCGCCCTGTTCTTAATCAGTTGTCCATCAGTCACAGAACATTTTGAGAAATATATACCATATACTCTGGGACTGAGTAATTTTGGAGGGGAAAAGGGAGGATATTTTCCAGTGTAATCCTTTGACCACATCAGTATAACCTCCAAGTTTGGTTATTAAACATGCAGAAAGTCAGTTATACTTGTCTGGTACTTTTAAGTACTGTGGTGTATTTTGATAAAGCATGAACAAAATCAAGTACTACGCATCATTTTTCTTTGAGCTGGTCCGTTTAATTGTTATGGAGAGTAGATCAACAACTCTATTGATTTAAGCAGAAGTGTGACAACAATATATTGAACTTTGATCTTTTCATACATTTTATAACTTGCTTAGGTCTTTTCAACTTGCTTAAGTTTTCCAGTTTCCTTTCAAACCATTTTCTTTCCATCTTATTTGACAATGTATCATAATAAATAATAAACCAACTGCCAGCAATCCCAGCCATTGATCTTTTCCAAGTAGGCATAACTGATTTCATGGCAGTTGTTTGACTTGGAAGATAGCACTGTAAACCCAACCTTTATATATAAAATGAAGCTTGAATCCAAACTGAATACATAAAAAATAGTATTACCTACATAAATACTGTCACACTATGTGGTTCGATAAGTCCTAAGGTTAGTCTTATAGAAAACACAGGATGTTCCTCATTCAGTACGTACTCTCTTCTTTCGGTGTTG